TCGCGCTCATTGTAATAGTCGCGCTCGCGCTCGCTTCTGGACCGACGGTCATCGTAGCCGCTGGGGTGTTGGCACGGGTAGTCGGGCGGCTGGCCAGCCATCCCGGGGTGTCGGGGCGGAGGGATGTGGGGAGGGTAGCCCGGCGGCATGCCAGGCGACAGCCGCGGGCCGTACCCCATCCGCGGGTACCCGGGCGGAGGGCCGGAAGGCGGCATTGGCGCCCGCTGCGGCGGGCCGGGCGGCGGGCCGGGGGGAGGACGTGGCCCGTGGTAGCAGCCGTTGCTCGTCAAGCCATAGCCCGGCGGCATGCCAGGCGGCGGCCGCTGGCCGTACCCCATCTGTGGGTACCCGGGCGGAGGGCCGGAAGGCGGCATTGGCGCCCGCTGCGGCGGACCGGGCGGCGGGCCGGGGAGAAGACGTGGACCGTGGGGAGCGGCCGTCCGCCGCATATTAATATCAGCTCGAGGGTCCAGAAGCACCCTCGAGTTGGTCGGCCATCCACGCTTCTATCTCGTCGGGAGATAGACGCCGTCGGGACAGAATTTTGCTATACCAGAGAAGGAGGGCAACACGACGCCCTCTAGGATTCCTACGCTGGGGTGCCGGCGCCACACGACGGGGCACGGGACTTGCACGCACTGGCACAGGTACACCATTAGAGAGCAAACGACACTGGGCACGGGACTAGTGCGCGCTGACACTGACACGATTGTAAAATTCTTTTTCGTTTTTGCGCACTTCCTACAGAGAAGCTCAGAGAGAGGGCTACGAGAATCGTAAATAAAATATTCTTAGCTTCAAGCCCCCCTCCGAGACTAGGGACAGAACCCACCCGTACACAGGAGAGATGGGACTGCGCCTCGCCCCCACTTGCCCTGACTACACAGGATAGCATGCCCCGATAACGGCGACACATAGTGGGGGACACTGCGCAAGGAGGGGGTGCGAAGGCTCATTGGGGTACTAGGTGGGACCATGAGGGGGGGTGGGCGGGGTCCTGTGGGGGTGAAATGTTGCGCGGCGAATTCGAACCTACCCCCTCGCCGCGCCGATCCTCACGCGGAGGGTAAAACCCTGTGGGACAAAACCCCCCCGCGGTCGGCAGTCTTCAGAGTGGACCCCCCCCTCCCCAGCCTCCCCTGTGCATCTCGCACCCCCCCCCGCTCCCCATCGGTGACTCGCGAAGGACACGGACACTCGGGGTGAGGGGGGGTCCCCCCGGAGGGGGCTCTGGGGCATTTTTGGGTTGATCGCTTGTGCCGATCTCGGGTCGATCTCGGGTCGATCTCGGGTCGATCTCGGGTCGATCTCGGGTCTCGGGTCGGTCTTGGGCGGGTCGGTCTCGGAGTGGTCTAGAAAAGAAAAAAAAATGGGGCGAGGATGAGGCGAGATGAGGCGAGGTGTGAGGCGAGGTGGGGGGCGAGATGAGGCGAGATGAGGCGAGATGAGGCGAGATGAGGCGAGATGAGGCGAGATGAGGCGAGATGAGGCGAGGTGAGGCGAGATGAGGCGAGGTGAGGCGAGATGAGGCGAGATGAGGCGAGATGAGGCGAGGTGTGAGGCGAGATGAGGGTTGAGGCGAGGTGGAGGCGAGATGAGGCGAGGTGAGGCGAGATGAGGCGAGGTGAGGCGAGATGAAGCGAGGTGAGGCGAGATGAAGCGAGGTGAGGCGAGATGAGGCGAGATGAGGCGAGACTAGGAGGCGAGATGAAGCGGGATGTTGTGTGGCTGCTTGTGCTGCCAAGCAGGCAGCACAAGCAGCCATACAAGTGAGCTTTTGGGTTGTGTGGCTGCTTGTGCTGAGCAGGCAGCACAAGCAGCCACACAAGTCAGCTTTGGGAGCTCTCGGCGACGCCCAATGCGTGCGCCGGTAGGGGGAGTGTGTGCGCGCGTGTGTGAGATGTGGATTGTGGCAGGCTGCTGCTGCTGATGGGAAGTGTGCTCTGTGTGTGGCGCTGCGCTGGCGTGCGACGCGCGCGTGCTGTGTACGTGTGCGTGTTGCGGTCGCGCGCGCGTCTGCGTGTGCTG